TGTTGGTATATTCTGCTGGGCCTTTATCCTCTCCATCTCCTCCACATGCTTCCTCTCTTTTTCCCTCTCCTCCTCCACATGCTTCCTTGCCTCCATTTCTTGTTCCTTCTTCAGCTGCATGAGTTCTATCTGTCTTTCATGTTCCCTTTGTCTTTCCTCAGCCTGAAATTTGGCTAATTCCAGCTGTAGTCGAGCTGAGGATTTGGTCATTCTAACCTCTCTGTTTTTAACTAACTTTACACCCGAGGTTTAGAAATAAACAAACAAAACTTGGCTGTAAAATTTTGCTGTGCTGGAATAGAATACCTATTCTCTGATAGTGATTGTCAGCCTACAGAAAAAGACAATTCCCTTGTCTCTGCTCTGGGCCCAAATTAAAGCAAAAAACCTCCAACTGCTTGGAAACCTGCTTACCCAGCCCAAAGAAAAAGCAAATGGGTAGAACACACACCCCCTATTTACTTTTAGGAAGAAAAGAAAAAAAAAAAACAATGGGTTGGAAGACTGTGAATTTCCCTGCAGGAGTTAAGTACCCTGCCTCCAGGCAAAAAAACCTGCAATTCACAAGATAATCCCCTTTTGTCTCTGCTTGGCCACAAAGCAGAGAGAAACCAAGCTGCTTTCAGTTTCAAAGCTGCTTTCTGGACTTTCTTTCCAAAGAAAAAAAAATTTTCCTTTTTAAAATCTGTATTTCTAGTTCAAAAAAATCTCAACTGGATCTCAAATGATTTCAGGTTAATCCCACCACTGTGCCACCATGTCAAGGTTCCTCCCCCACTCTGAACTCTAGGGTACAGATGTGGGGACCTGCATGAAAAAAACCCCTAAGCTTATCTTTACCAGCTTAGGTCAAAACTTCCCCAAGGTACAAAATATTACACCCGTTATCCTTGGAATGGCCGCTACCACCACCAAACTAATACTGGTTACTGGGGAAGAGCTGTTTGGACGCGTCTTTCCCCCCAAAATACTTCCCCAAAACCTTGCACCCCACTTCCTGGACAAGGTTTGGTAAAAAGCCTCACCAATTTGCCTAGGTGACTACAGACCCAGACCCTTGGATCTTAAGAACAATGAACAATCCTCCCAACACTTGCACCCCCCCTTTCCTGGGAAATGTTGGATAAAAAGCCTCACCAATTTGCATAGGTGACCACAGACCCAAACCCTTGGATCTGAGAACAATGAAAAAGCATTCAGTGTTTTACAAGAAGACTTTTAATAAAAATAGCAGTAAATAGAAATAAAGAAATCCCCCTGTAAAATCAGGATGGTAGATATCTTACAGGGTAATTAGATTCAAAAACATAGAGAACCCCTCTAGGCAAAACCTTAAGTTACAAAAAAGATACACAGACAGAAATAGTTATTCTATTCAGCACAATTCTTTTCTCAGCCATTTAAAGAAATCATAATCTAACACATACCTAGCTAGATTACTTACTAAAAGTTCTAAGACTCCATTCCTGTTCTGTCTCTGGCAAGAGCAGCACACAGACAGACCCTTTGTCCCTCTCCCTCCTCCCAGCTTTTGAAAGTATCTTGTCTCCTCATTGGTCATTTTGGTCAGGTGCCAGCGAGGTTACCTTTAGCTTCTTAACCCTTTACAGGTGAGAGGAGCTTTCCCCTGGCCAGGAGGGATTTCAAAGGGGTTTACCCTTCCCTTTATCTTTATGACAGGTGTTGTGTCCGATAACCACACGAAGACAACGTAATGCTTCCTTTGCTCAGGCTGTATGAATCCTCCCTCCACTGACCTTGCAATGGACCTGGTTTACTTTATGTCTTATTTGCTCAAGGGTCCTCTTCACTATACTAAAGAACCCCCCCCCCATCCCACACACACACACTCTCTAATGAGAAGATGTATAACTCAGCTCTTTGCCTCAATTAAGTGAGAGCGTGGAGAACTTAATCCAAAAGTAAAGACGACAGATGATGTCTGTCGTAACTGCCCTAACAGAAGTGTCAGAGCATAGGATTCTTGCTTGACTCTACATCCCCCTAAGACAGCCTCTACTTATGCTCCACTGGCAAATGATCTAAGCAGTGGAAGCATCTGATACCAAAGCTGAAAGAGCTATCCTGGCCTGGTAGCTGTCCATATAGATCTGCAATTCCAGAAGAACAAACCTTCCTTCCTTAAAAAGTTATTCTTCTTTGGCACTTTACCAGACAGGAAGGAACAACCTGGTTAGAAGCTGTCATAAATATAAAGGGAAGGGTAAACCCCTTTGAAATCCCTCCTGGCCAGGGGAAAGCTCCTCTCACCTGTAAAGGGTTAAGAAGCTAAAGGTAACCTCGCTGGCACCTGACCAAAATGACCAATGAGGAGACAAGATACTTTCAAAAGCTGGGAGGAGGGAGAGAAACAAAGGGTCTCCGTCTGTCTATATGCGGCTTCTGCTGGGGATAGACCAGGAATGGAGTCTTAGAACTTTTAGTAAGTAATCTAGCTAGGTATGTGTTAGATTATGATTTCTTTAAATGGCTGAGAAAAGAATTGTGCTGAATAGAATAACTATTTCTGTCTATCTTTTTTGTAACTTAAGGTTTTGCCTAGAGGGGTTCTCTATGTTTTGAATCTAATTACCCTGTAAGGTATCTACCATCCTGATTTTACAGAGGTGATTTCTTTTCTTCTATTTACTTCTATTTCTATTAAAAGTCTTCTTGTAAGAAAACTGAATGTTTTTTCATTGTTCTCAGATCCAAGGGTTTGGGTCTGTAGTCACCTATGCAAATTGGTGAGGCTTTTTATCTAACATTTCCCAGGAAAGTGGGGGTGCAAGTGTTGGGAGGATTGTTCATTGTTCTTAAGATCCAAGGGTCTGGGTCTGTAGTCACCTAGGCAAACTGGTGAGGCTTTTTACCAAACCTTGTCCAGGAAGTGGGGTGCAAGGTTTTGGGAAGTATTTTGGGGGGAAAGACGTTTCCAAACAGCTCTTCCCCAGTAACCAGTATTTGTTTGGTGGTGGTAGCGGCCAATCCAAGGACAAAGGGTGGAATATTTTGTACCTTGGGGAAGTTTTGACCTAAGCTGGTAAAGATAAGCTTAGGAGGTTTTTCATGCAGGTCCCCACATCTGTACCCTAGAGTTCAGAGTGGGGGAGGAACCTTGACAGAAGCCGTGCATCATCTTTCTGGCTGCTAAGACTACCAAGGTGTAAAAGTGGTTGAAGAAATTCTGGAGTCCTTGCCAAGCTATGGGAGATAGGCAATCAGCTTTCCTTGGTGCTGCAGGAGCTAATCCTAGTGTCAGCCATATGTCAACGGCATGTCCAGTTATTTAATCAGAAGAATATTTTCCCTTAAGTATTCCTGGGGGAATTCTGCGCCACTGTGCACGTGCAGAATTCATGTCCCCTTCAGATTTTTTCTCTCTGGAAAATACATTCTGCCAGAGAAGAGCTGCAGTTACACCTTTCTCCCACCCAGTGGTGCCAGAACAGAGAGCAGCCAGTTAACTGGTAATAGAAGTCAGCAGCCAGCTGTGGTACTCACAGTGCCCTGCCCGTGGAGCCAGGTTAGGATGCATGGGATATGGGGAAGAGGGAACAGTCAAAGCAGGGGACATGGAGCTAATGGGGGGTTACAGACTAGGATTCAGAAGGGCTAGTGGGAGGGGACAGACTAGGGTGGGGTGGAATGGGGGTGCAGGGCCACATGGGAATAGGGAACAAGGGATGCAGGGCTACATGGGGACAGTGGAGGGGTGGCTGAATGGGGATGCAGAGTCACATGGGGACAGAGGCACATGTGCCTGAATGAGAGACTAAGGGTCAGCCAGAATCTGCATGGGGGAGACTCCCCAACTCCTCAACAATCCCTCCCACCTCCCAGAAAAACCTTGTTCTATACTTCTCCCACCAACCCCCAACAACGCTCCAGGTTCACTCCCAGGTTTATTCCCAGAAATTACTTCCCTCTCCCTCAGCTCCTCCGTTACTCCTGACTCCCCCAGTCTGGGATTTCATGCAACCACCCCACCTAGGCCATTCATATGGAGATCGTTGCATATCGGCTTCCAGCTTTTCAGTCCTGTCAGCACTGTGTAGGAAACTCATTCCATGAGTCTTTTGGTGAAGTTTGGTGAATGATGATGGTGAGATACTGGGGTGGTGAAAACTACTGATACCAGTAGACTGTCAACGCAAAATAGTTTAATGTTTAACCTGTGGCGCATAGTAGCAGGATGCACACTCTGGAATGTCACAACCTTTATCCAACAGAGAGCCGAGGCTCGATGGCCATGTCTGTGTCTGCCCTGCAGAGCCTGCTAACTCGGCTATGTGGTTCTTGCCATTGTCCAAAGAGGGTCCTCCACCAGGCATTTGAGGCTTGATAGTCATTGATCCATATTATGATTCTTTCAGCCATTTAAGCTCTGACCGTTCACCCAGACCATTAATTTCTATATTAAACAATACACTCTTAACCATTTGTCATGATGTACCATGAATTGCACTAAATTACACCAGCTGAGAATTTGGTCTGTTATACACAGGTATAAATGAGTAAACAAGTTGAAAGTCAGTGGAGAATCAACTCCTTACCCTCATCTTATTATTCTATCTCAAATAAGCAGCTCTCATATTTTCCACTACTGAGGCTGGGAAGCATATGATGATCTCAGTAGAAATTGCACATGCAGAACAAATGAATAATGTTCAATAGAGAGCAACAATGTGGATTAAAAAAGAGAATTTTGCTCTAATAAACCAAAATTTTCTTAAAATTAAGCTTTCTTGAATCATGGTAAAAAGCAAACTTTGCCTTGAAGAGTCGTGGACCAGCCAATCACTTCTAATTTCAAATCCACATGTCTCAAAGTTTCAGTGCCTTTCATTATATTTAATAAAATGTTTGCATCACATATTTCAGCTTGGAAGCACTGTGTGTCCAGTTTAAGACACAACCAAGTACTCAACTCTGGCCCAGAAAAGAGCCTCCTTGTATCACTGCTGCCACTACCAGTTACTGAAAGAATTGATACTCACTGAAACTACATTCACAAAATCATCATCTGACAAGGTTTCTAGCATCTCAATGACGGAGGTTCGGATCAACTTCAGTGTCAGTCCACTAACGCTCCCACTCCTGCATAACAGAGAAAATTTAAAAAATGGATTGAAGGAGTTCAGTTGAAAACATACAGTGGAACTAGATTTTATAAACTGGCTCCCATATTTTCATACTCAAGATTGCTCCAGAAGTGCTTACTCAGCCCCAAGTCTCACCTTTAAGAGTTGCTCTGCAATGGCAATACTTGTTACAGAAAATAAAAAGTTCCAGAGTTAGTCTCCAAGCCATAACTTTGTGGTTCAGAAGAATAGTTTTGTCACCTGACCCATGACCCACAGTGACACATCTTTTCCTCATTTTCAATTCATGATTGCCATGAGAATTTATCACATACAAATTGTGTGTTCCCTAAAAATTCTTCTACTCTCTTCTATTCAGTCAAGGCGTTATATTTTCAGGGATCTAAATTGCGGCATGTTTGTTTCAGGGCAAAGCTCAAACCTTGGGAGGGAGGAAGGGGTGGAATTGCAAATGCTGATAAAACACACCTCTGCAATACAGCAGTATTTGACTGCATTTAAAAACATCAAATGCAATCTCTCCCAGTGAGGCAAAGAACCAATGAATAGATTTTTTTTCAGTATAAAGCAATCTGGAGACACTTCAAGCCTGATGATTCCCCCAGACTCTTGACATTGGCTTAACAAAGGAAATCTTGACAAGGGGAAGAAAGGAGAGCAGCAGAATATGGACACTGGACTTCAGAAAAGCAGACTTCGACAACCTCAGGGAACTGATGGGAAGGATCCCCTGGGAGAATAACATGAGGGGGAAAGGAGTCCAGGAGAGCTGGCTGTATTTTAAAGAATCCTTATTGAGGTTACAGGCACAAACCATCCTGATCTGTAGAAAGAATAGTAAATATGGCAGGCGACCAACTTGGCTTAACAGTGAAATCCTTGCTGATCTTAAACACAAAAAAGAAGCTTACAAGAAGTAGAAGCCTGGACAAATGACCAGGGAAGAGTATAAAAATATTGCTCGGGCATGCAGGAGTGAAATCAGGAAGGCCAAATCACACCTGGAGTTGCAGCTAGCAAGAGATGTTAAGAGTAACAAGAAGGGTTTCTTCAGGTATATTAGCAACAAGAAGAAAGTCAAGGAAAGTGTGGGCCCCTTACTGAATGAGGGAGGCAACCTAGTGACAGAGGATGTGGAAAAAGCTAATGTACTCAATGCTTTTTTGCCTCTGTCTTCACGAACAAGGTCAGCTCCCAGACTGCTGCACTGGGCAGCACAGCATGGGGAGGAGGTGACCAGCCCTCTGTGGAGAATGAAGTGGTTTGGGACCATTTAGAAAAGCTGGACGAGCACAAGTCCATGGGGCCGGATGCGCTACATCCGAGAGTGCTAAAGGAGTTGGCTGATGTGATTGCAGAGGTATTGGCCATTATCTTTGAAAACTCATGGCAATCGGGGGAGGTGCCGGACGACTGGAAAAAGGCTAATGTAGTGCCCACCTTTAAAAAAGAGAAGAAGGAAGATCCTGGGAACTATAGGCCAGTCAGCCTCATCTCAGTCCCTGGAAAAATCATGGAGCAGGTCCTCAAGGAAATCAATTCTGAAGCACTTAGAGAAGAGGAAAGTGATCAGGAACAGTCAGCATGGATTCAACCAAGGGCAAGTCATGCCTGACTAATCTAATTGCCTTCTATGACGAGATAACTGGCTCTGTGGATGAGGGGAAAGCAGTGGACGTGTTGTTCCTTGATTTTAGCAAAGCTTTTGACACGGCTTCCAACAGTATTCTTGCCAGCAAGTTAAAGAAATATGGGCTGGATGAATGGACTATAAGATGGATAGAAAGCTGGCTAGATTGTCGGGCTCAATGGGGAGTGATCAATGGCTCCATGTCTAGTTGGCAGCCGGTATCAAGTGGAGTGCCCCAGGGGTCGGTCCTGGGGCCGATTTTGTTCAATATCTTCATAAATGATCTGGAGGATGGTGTGGATTGCACCTCAGCAAGTTTGCAGATGCTGGAGGGTAGGGATAGGATACAGAGGGACCTAGACAAATTAGAGGATTGAGCCAAAAGAAATCGGATGAGGTTCAACACGGACAAGTGCAGAGTCCTGCACTTCGGACGGAAGAATCCCATGCACCGCTACAGACTAGGGACCGAATGGCTAGGCAGCAGTTCTGCAGAAAAGGACCTAGGGGTTACAGTGGACAAAAAGCTGCATATGAGTCAACAGTGTGCCCTTGTTGCGAAGAAGACCAATGGCATTTTGGGATGTATAAGTAAGGGCATTACCAGCAGATTGAGGGACATGATTGTTCCCCTCTATTCAACATTGGTGAGGCCTCATCTGGAGTACTGTGTCCAGTTTTGGGCCCCACACTACAAGAAAGATGTGGAAAAATTGGAAAGCGTCCAGCGGAGGGCAACAAAAATGATTAGAGGACTGGAATAAATGACTTAGGAGGAGAGGCTGAGGGAACTGGGCTTGTTTAGTCTGGAGAAGAGAAGAATGAGGGGGGATTTGAGAGCAGCCTCCAACTACCTGAAAGGGGGTTCCAAAGAGGATGGATCTAGACTGTTCTCAGTGGTAGCAGATGACAGAACGAGGAGTAATGGTCTCAAGTTGCAGTGGAGGAGGCTTAGGTTGGATATTAGGCAAAACTTTTTCACTAGGAGGGTGGTGAAACACTGGAATGCATTACCTAGGGAGGTGGAATCTCCTTCCTTAGAAGTTTTTAAGGTCAGGCTTGACAAAGCCCTGGCTGGGATGATTTAGTTGGGGATTGGTCATGCTTTGAGTAGGGTTTTGGACTAGATGACCTCCTGAGGTCTCTTCCAACCCTGATATTCTATGATTCTATGATTCTAGGGGTACAGAGAAATGTTTTTATGAATTTCTTCCCTTAGTCTTCACACAGCATGGAATGAATCTCTGAATATAAATACCAAACCAGAGGCAGATTTATTTATACAATGGGAAATGGCACTGTAAATTTGTCATAGAATTTTATAACATTATCTTCATTAATGTTATTGTAATGTAGAACAACCCCATTTGAATAATGGAGCAAATCAATGCAGCTAAAGTCCCTAAAATATGCCATTTTACCCTCTACGTTCATTCCCCCGTATTTAATTTTGGCTTTACATTCAAAACTGTCGTTTTTTAAAAAAATCAGAGTATTCTCACATTTACGTATTTATTTTTACTGTTTGGGGATTAATGCTTTGAGAGCTCTGAAGGGGTTGGACTTTAGGCTTTTGAACAGCTTAAGATAAACTGTGGAGAGCTAGAATACAATACATTAAGCATACATGAATTCTCATCCTTTTGGTCACCAAACCATGCAAATTAATTCTCAGACAAATCCAGCTCTTTGCTTCTAGTACTTTCTTTTGTGTTTCACAACAAGCTCTGGCATTCACCTGAGATATTTTCTATTGGTTATTTCAGTAATTGAGATGTTTATGTCCAACATCAGATGGACATAAAGCGGTGGTTCCCAAACTTGTTCCCCAGCTTGTGCAGGGAAAGCCCCTGCCAGGCCAGGCCACTTTGTTTACCTGCCGTGTCCGCAGGTTTGGCTGATTGTGGCTCCCAGTGGCCACGGTTCGCTGCTCCAGGCCAATGGGAGCTGCTGGAAGCGGCGGTCAGTACGTCCCTGGGCCCGCGCCGCTTCCAACAGCTCCCATTGGCCTGGAGCAGCGAACCGCGGCCACTGGGAGCCACAACAGGCTGAACCTGTGGTTGTGGCAGTTAAACAAACCAGCCTGGCCTGCCAGGGGCTTTCCCTGCACAAGCGGCGGAACAAGTTTGGGAACCACTGACATAAAGACATCCTAATATCAAGGCCGTTTTTTTCAACAATTCAAATGTCTTATTTTTAACCTCATCTCTTCTTCAACTTGCAATAGTTTGTTCAAAAGGTGCCAAATAGCTTTTCATCTCTCCAGTATTAATATCCAGTCTTTAAACACTTACGCATCAACTAAAATAAGCATGTCTTTTGGAGATGCAGCTCCTTGGATGTACCTGAAATAAACAAATGAAAAGATATGAAAGATAAAAACTTGAAAACACCACTCTACATTTGATGCAAAGACCCTCTGATCTCTAAAATCAAGTCTAGCTGAACCAAAGGAACTCCCCAGTTGCATTTCAGTAGGAAATTCATGCACTGTCACTTTTTCTCATTGCTTCTCCTTCTAGGTAAACCAAGGTTCAAGTAACAACAGTGAGACCTGGAGGTAGTACATAGGAATTCACTGTTCTTGTACGTTGACAACAGAGAGGGGTGAATAGGATTTGAGAGCTAAATATATCTTGATGACAAGTTAGCAGGTGAATTATTACAGCTGCCCAACTCAGGGAAAGATGTTTTTCTAATGAGAGTACAGTAAAATGTGGCAAGAGCGACCACTCATGGGAATTAGTAAATGTGGTTGCTTGTAATATGCCGTCTCTCTTCAAAGGAATGGCATTGCCACCTTTACTTTTGAATTGCTGCTGGCAGGGGCACTGCCTTCAGAGCTGGGAGACAAGATAGCAGTTTCTTCCCAGTTAAATTATAGGGGGAAAATGTTCTGTGGCCTCTGCAAGTAGTTGCTTGTGACAGATGGTCTCTCTTCAGAGGTGATCAGTTAGGCAGGTTTGACTGTATACTTAACCATTACAAATAAAAATGAGCAAAATACAAATGAGAAAATACAGCGAGGAAAAAATGGAATGGTATTCTGATGGAAAAAATGCTAAAAGTCAGTACTGAAAAAGAGCATTTTCAGAGAATGTCCACTGCTCTGGTGACTGTAGTACTAGCCTAACCTCTAGGACCATGTTTGTAAATCATTCTGGAAATGGTTCATTTTGATCATCCTAATTTGGTTTGGTTTGCTGCCTTCAATCCAAGTGTTTAATGGTCTTATCGTCATGCCACCTGGGTATTTGTCTTTATCATGAAAATTCCTTCTGTATAGCAATATGGTATAGCATATATGTCACCTACCAAAAAAGCTGAACTGAGTTTACAAAGTGAAAATATTTTAAAATTTGAACTTTAAGTCCTCAAAAATTATCAGAAGAGGGTTTAGTGTAGTATTTAGCCCATATTTACTATTTATTTTGTCTTTTATCAGAATATGTACTATGTTGACAATTTCATGTGCTTCAGTCCTCCAAAGAAAGCTTACCATGGTCTTCTGCGAACATCATATAGATCTATCTTGTTTGGAGTTCGGCTTTTATCTACCCATGGGGAGGCTAAAAATGAAAGAAGATATATTGTATTCATTTCAGTATATTGCACATTATTTGAAGAAAATAACATAATGCTAAAGACTTTTAGAGAACATTAAAAATCCTTTAATATGCGGTATATCAATATTTCACACTATTAGCACTATATAAATAATAACATGTGGTAGGATGTTAGGATGTTCTTTATCTTCTTACACTTTACTAAAAATATTGTTTTTATTAAAACATTTCAAAGGGAAGTATTGCCATTGACTTCAATGGTCCCAAGATTTCACCCAAAGTATTTTTGGGATGGGAGATAACCTTTTAGGACAAACAGATACTTTATAAAACGAACTTTTAAAAATATTCTGGTCTATGGAAATGCAAGCCTGATGCAAAGCTCATTGAAGTTTACAGGAGTCTTTCCACTGATTTAAATGGGCTTTGGCTGAAATCCTTAATTAGGAAACAGATATGGCATAAAAGTATCCTGAAAATGACATGCAACTAAAGTATCTATGTCTGTAAAACTCCAGAAGAGGGAAATCTGAAGAAATCAGGAAGATTCTTAATCTTTGTAATACACATCAGCTCCATTGTCCTCTACACAAAAAGATCAAAGCAAGCTATGTCCAGAGGATAGAGATGTTAATAATTACTCTTTCTGCACTTTTGGAATCTAGAGAGCCTTCAAATGCTTAAGCAAAGCAATAAAGATACTTGGGACAAATGCTGATGTTGGGTACACCAGTGTAAATTCAGAATAACTAGTTACCAACAACCCATGACCAAATGTACCATCAACGTTATCACTATTTATTATTGAATACCAATTATAGGACCAATCTCTGAGTCAAGCTGGGGATGATGATCTTCATGTGATGGACAAAGGAGTTCTGTCCCTCCTGATGACATTATATTTTATGCTTGTGACAATCTCCCTTTCCAGCATTTCAAATCTCTATCTTCTTTCACATCTCTCTAGTCATATCGACTTCCACTAAGTCTTTCTAAAATGACCACTATCGTTTCTAACATAGGCCACATATTATTTTTGTCTGAACTGAAATGTAACCTCCTTGGGGCACGGAACACATATTGTTGTTTGCGCAGCACCAATTGCATTGTTGGTGTTGAATAAATAATTATAAAGAACTTTAAAACTATGAACACACATACAAGATTAGGTGAATCTGATCCAAGAATTCAGTTTTAAACATTTTTTGAACTTTAGGTAAATTCATATCCAATTGAGTTTTGTAGGTTGGGCTCATCTCTACACAAAAGGTAAATATAAAGCAGTTATATACCAATGTATATAGAGAACCCGGATACGAGTTACTGTGCATTCAATTCATAAAGGAGTATAATGATTCTATATTGTTAATGACCATTGTCTGCATTGGCATTTGACTATTCAAATACAAACACTTGCACAAGGTGCAACCCACAAAACATAAAAACAAAAATATATACCACTTTGATTCATGGAGAAAACACATAGCACAGTCTTCTGTACCACAAGAGCTGCAAAGCACTTCATATTCTCTACGTGAAATTTCCAGGTCTGAGAGAATATCATTTTTAAGAATGACTGGATTTCAAATTTCTGAGCAAGTTTAGCAGCATTTACTGAGATATGCAAAGACTTAACACACAGGACAACAGCAATTCATTAATTTTGATGCCCTGGATGGAACAAGAATTTGTGTTTGCTTAGGGTTGATTATATCTAGTTTTATTTTTGTGATCCACACGGACTAATTCATTTATTAAAATTGATCTGAAGATTCTTGCTTGAAATACTCCCTCTGGGAGTTGAGAGATTTGTATTTAATTTATTCATTTAGGTTTATTTAAATTGGGTAGTCTAGGCACACATACAAAATGTAATTCAAAATACAAACAAAATCAAACTGTACTGATGCCCACAATTACAGACCTTGACCACAGAATACAAAATTATCCCTCACCAAGCCCTCCCACCCAATCAATGTCTCCTTGCGAAAGACTGGGAGCAGACAGTTCAGTGAGGTCCATTAATATCAACCCAAAGCATCTTTTAAAATATTTTGGTTACATCATTAAAATTATAATAATCCTGAGCCATTTGTTGTGATAATTGAATTGTAAAAATGCTTGGATTTTCTTGAGTGGTCAGTTTTATTTCAGATAAAAAAATAGGTCTGACTCCTTAATTGCTATCTTCAATCTTATATTATGATTAATGGTAATTCAGATAGAAGATGAAAGATTGTCCTACATGGGAGTGTTTCTAACCTCAGTCTTTTGTACTATGAATGTAGAGATTTGGGCTTTTATTTAAGATGGAATCAATCTTTTGAAGGGGTATAGATTAATAGATCAGATCCTAGCTCATCGACTCATAGACTTTAAGGCCAGAAGGAACCATAACAATAATCTAGTCTGATTTCCTGCACATTGCAGGCCACAGAACCTCACCCACCCCGTTCTGTAACAGACTCATAAGCTTTGGCTGAGTTACTGAAGTCCTCAAATCATGACTTCAAGTTACAAATAATCCATCATTTACTCTAGTTTAAACCTTCAAGTTACCCATGCCTCCAGGGTCTCTGCCAACCTGACCTGTGGAAAATTCCTTCCTGACCCCAAACATAGTGATCAGCAGAGCCCTGAGCATGTTGGCAAGACCCAGCAGCCAGATACCTGGGAAAGATTTCTCTGTAGTAACACATAGCCCTCCCCATCTCATATCCCATAGCAGCCATTAAGGATTTTTGCTACTAGCAATCACAGATGGACGCCATGCCATTGTAGGCAGTCTCATTATACCATCCCCACCATAAACTTATCAAGCTCAGTTTTTAAGCTAGTTAGGTTTTTTGCCCCCACTGCTCCCCTTGGGAGGCTCTTCCAGAATTTCACTCCTCTGATAGTTAGAAATCTTTGTCTAATTTCAAGCCTAAACTTGTTGATGGCCAGTTTATATCCATTTGTTCTTGTGTCAACATTGATGCTAAACTTAAATAACTCCTCTCCCTCCCTGGTATTTATCCCTCTGATGTATTTATTAAGAGCAATCGTATCTCCCCTCAGCCTTTGTTTTGTTAGGTTAAAAAAGCCAAGCTCCTTGAGTCTCCTCTCATAAGGTACGTTTTCCTTTCATCTGATCATCCCAGTAGCCCTTCTCTGCACCTGTTCCAGTTTGAATTAATCTTTCTTAAACATGGAAGACAATAATTGTACACAATATTCTGAAAGAAGTCTTGCCTTGTATAATGGCAATAACATTTCCCTATCTTGACTGGAAATACCTTGCTTGATGCTTCCTAGATTGCGTTAGCCTTTTTCACAGCAGCATCACATTGGTGACTCATAGTCATCCTGTGATCAACCGGTACACCCAGGTCTTTCTTCTTCTCTGTCACTTCCAACTGATATGGCCCCAGTTTACAGCAAAAAAAATTGTTGTTAGTCTCTAAGTGCATGACCTTGCACTCTGCAATATTAAATGTCATCCCATTTTTATTACTCAGTTTTCAAGGTCCTCCAGATCTTCTAGTATGATATTCCAGTCTTCCTCTGTACTGGCAAGGCCTCCCAACTTTGTGTCAACCGCAAATTTTATTAGCACACTCCCACTTTTTGTGCCAAGGTCATGAATAAAAATGTTAAATAAGATTGGTCCCAGGACAGATTCCTGCGGAACTCCACTAGTAACCTTCCTCCACCCTGACAGTTTACCTTTCAGTATGACCCAGTGTAGTCTCCCCTTTAACCAGCTGCTTATCTACCTTCAATTCTCGTATTAATCCCCATCTTCTCCAATTTAACAAAAAATTCCCATGTGGAACTGTATCAAATGCCTTACTGAAATCCAAGTGTATTAGATCTACTGCATTTCCTTTGTCTAAAAAATCAGCTATCTTCTCAAAGAAAGAGATCAGGTTGGTCTAGCACAATCTACTTTTTGTAAAACCATGTTGATTTTTTTTTTGAGGTGCTGTTTATCTCTATGTCTTTAACTACTTTCTCTTTCAGAATTTGTTCCAAGACTTTGAATACAGTTGAAGACAAACCAATGGTCCTGTAATTTCCCGGATCACATTTTCCCCCTTTCTTAAAAATAGGTACTATATTAGCAATTCTCCAGTCATAGGGTATGATCCCTGTTTTTACAGATTCAGCTGGTGCAAACTGGCATAACTCTACTGAAGCCCATAACACTATGCTGATTTAAACTACCCGAGGATCTCGCCCAGATATAGCTAAATGTTTCATTTCATGAAAATGATCATATAATTTAAGTGACAAATATTTCCTTTTTAAACCAAATATTCTGGATGCTCCAGAGGAATAGACAGTGAAATTTGTTGATGGCATTTCACCTGCATTGATCTGAATTTGATTGAGCTCGATCTATATTTTATCAATATTTAAAGCATGTAAATGCTGTCTATGACAAGATAAGTAATTATAGATTAATATTATATAGAAACTTCATTAGAAGGGGTGTTCTTCTCTAAGGGCTGCATGCTGACTTGGATCTGCATGCAGAACACCCACTATTGTTAATAAGAAGAACTGCATTTTGGCTAGCCAAGTCTACACTGCAATGAAAGACCTGTGGAATGGCCACGGCCTGCCTGGGTCAGCTGACCGAGGCTTGTGGGGCTCAGGCTGCAGGGCTAAAAAATGTAGTGTGTATACCTTTGGGTTCAAGCATGAGTCCGGATGTCTACACTGTAGTTTTTAGCCCCACAGCCCAAGTGTGGCAAGCCTGAGTCAACTGACCAGGGCTCAGAGACTCAGTGGTGTGGGTTTTTTACTGCAGTGTAGATCATAGAATCATAGAATCATAGAATATCAGGGTTGGAAGGGACCTCAGGAGGTCATCTAGTCCAACCCCCTGCTCAAAGCAGGACCAATCCCCAATTAAATCATCCCAGCCAGGGCTTTGTCAAGCCTGACCTTAAAAACTTCTAAGGAAGGAGATTCTACCACCTCCCTAGGTAATGCATCCCAGTGTTTCACCACCC